TTTTTGTTTCAGGTAGATCAACACTTCCACCAATTCATCTGGTTCTCTGATCGAAGAGAAATGGTTGTTCATTGATAAGAACTTTCCTTTCCTTTGGACAAGTGCAAGAAGAAATATAAATGCATTTACAAGCAGCGATGTCAAATAATTTTACGGCAAAAGAGACAAAGTCATCTCTTTTAGAGCTATTGGGTTCTTTAAAAACATGTGTTTAAGAGTCAGAAATTTCTTATGGTATGTGGTGAGCATTTGTACAACTCTGGTGTGTGAAACTATCGGAATAGATGACTTTTTGAAAGTGTTTTCAACCTTTTTTGCAACTATTTCTATAACCTCTTTACTCCTAGGTTCATAGTTGTCGCCTCGGAGTCGCCCTATACGAAATCTTTCAAACTTATAACACAAAAGAACATCCTCGTAAGTAGGTAACTGGGACTCATAGAGATTGTACGGGTATATGCCAAACACAGGACATTTCTGTCTAAATTTAAATTTAGATACAGACACTTTGAGTTCTGTGTTCTGTTGAGAGAATATAAGTGATAGCACTCGGCGAAATCAACGTCAAGAAGTGTGGGCGCAAGCCGATTTTCACCTTGCGCTGTGGAGCGCCGCATTTTAGCTCGTATCTCGGAAACGGTTCGGACCATTTCGGTAGCAAATGACGTGACAAATAACTTTTGTTTCATACATTTTGCCATGAGATGCGTATTTCAATCGCTAGGTAGACAATTTCACGATTTTAGGCGAATTTCCGAAATTTCAAGGCCGGAATTGGGGTTGAAGATGCAATCCGACCATATATTCACCACCGGCCAAATTTTGGAAAAGACCCGTGAAAGGAGAACGATACACACCACCTCTTCGAAACACGGGTCAACACAAAATTTGACCATAACTCTAAAGCAGTAAATTTCCATGTTTTAGGTCGTAATTAGACAAAAAAAAAATATATGCCATGAAAAAGTTTGTTTTTTTATTTAGGAAACCGCTTTAACGATATTTTTTAAAATATGTGGTTTTAATTTTTAATTGAAAATGAAATCACTTAAAAAAACATTTTTATTATTTTTATTAAGTTTTACCATCAAAATAACTTACAAAAAAAGTAAATAATCATTTAAAAGTGCACACTTTTCCTTTTGCGTTTATGTTCATAGGTACTATCTCTTAATAAAGCCCAAATATAGTATTCTTACTATAACTTTAACAAAAGCAAACTCTATACGAAAAAAGGTATTAACTTATCGTTTTTGTTCATAATTAATCATTAAATCATTTTGTAGAGTCGTGTAATGTTAATTATATATTCATAAGTTATTTTCGTTTAACATTTCATTCGTTTTACATTCTCCATTTTCTTATATCAAGAATGCAGTTTACCAGTTCATTAGGAACGTATGGCACATTCATCGTTGAGCATATGTGCCGCAAGAAGAATAAGCATAGTGCGCATACACATACTTTTCTTAGCGTGAAGAACAAATGAAAAATGTCAATTGTTTAACAATAAATTATGTAAAATATTATTATTTAAACAAATGGATCGTGAAAAAAATATCTATAATGTGCACGAACATTTTTCTTTGACATCGATTTATCTCTGGTAGTTTATGAGAAAACAATTTTACAATTTTATGGTGCACTAAATTCCTCCAATAACTTTAACAAAAAATAGAATTTTGACGAAATGTATGCGTCTTATCCCCTTCCTAATGAACTACTAATTTTCAAAATCGGTGGTTTTGCGAATTTTTCATGGACCACTTGAAGTGGTTTAACCCATATTTGTTCACTGTGCATAAAACACTAATGAGTTAATGCCGTAATAGAGATCTTAATATTGGGTATATGACATACTTTCATATTGGTTTTTATATACGTTACGAATACGTTCTGGTCACGTGGTGGGAACGGACTTAAACTCCCTAATTCTAGTATACATCGGTAGTAGACCGGTAAGTGTAAACTAGTATACACACCTAATACTGATGGTCATTTTAAACTCTTAGCATAAATACAATTAGTTTGAGTAAAGGTTTTTTAATATATACGTATTTCTAATTTTTTTTTTTTTTTGAACCCATTTTTTGAAGAACCTTAGTTTTTTATGCACACTCTCTCTTAAGCGATCGTCTCAGAGTGACCCTCAGAAAAATAACTGATTTTCGCGACTTTTTTTAATGTTAAAATTAACAAATCGGTCTGGTTTTACTTGTTATAAATAATTATTTTTCCCTTTTTAGACAGTTTTTCGTAAAAGAAATAAGATGATTTCAAAAACAAGACAAGCTTCTATGGCGGGATAGAGAATGACGTTAAAAATGTTCTCTCAAAATTGGAACTAGATATCTTAAAAATTCTTCCTTTGAGTGGAAACCGTTTTGAACAGCAATATTCTGAGAAAAACGCGTTTATAGATTGAAGTTGCTCTGTTCCATTTCTACAATAAACGCTGTAGCGACCTTACTAATTTGAATTTCGATTTCAAAATTTTAGAGAATGTTTATTACAGTGTATACTATCCGATAATGCAATAAAAATGTTTTTTTATTTCGAAAATTTCACACATAGACGAACTCCACAAAATTCAATTAGTTTGTTTCCTATCTGCTAAATATTAATAGCTAGCAAAGTTTCTGCTTGGAAAGCAATTCGTAATTAAAAAAGAAACTAGCAGAAGAAAAATTTCTTTACTTTTCCGTTATTTTGCTCTTTGTGAGAGTAACTTGCAATCTTCTCCCTGATAGCTAGCAGCTACAAAGCTAATACTAATTGAAAGATAAAATTTGTATTAAGGTTTTCACCACAAATTATGAGTATTATATTTACTAAGCTATTTTGATAAATAATCTTATTAAGGCTGATAATACGTCTATACAAATTTTTTACAAGCAATGCTGTCGTCGTAAAAAGGTTTGACATCGAGTATTGTACAACGGAGGTTGCGAATCATGCAAAATAAAACTAAGCAAAACTCGATAAATTAAAATCAACGAGAATGTACTCTGAATATATCACTCGTGTAGATTTCGGTTAATCAGTTTTTCACAGCACGGATTACATTACATAAATTTTATGATATATAATTTAGTTATTTATTTAATTAAACATGAAATAAAAATATTGTTAGAATTTCCTTTGCAACTTTTACGAAGATAACTATACGACGTTCAAACATATATTAATTTGTACACCCTAAGCATCGACGACATCGTCTAATTAAAATAAATGGGTGTTATATTAATTATTTGTCAACAAGACAAGCCAAGTGACGTTTGATATAAACAAGATTATCAATACCATAATATAAAACTATCATAATTACCTGCGTAGTTGAACCCCTGTGTTCAGTTGATATGTTCGTATCTCCAACGTAACTGATGGATAAAGTTCGAGATCGAGACCATGCCCTCTGCAACGAAAATATAGCAATGTATTTTATAAAAAAAAAACTTCATTAAACGTTGAACAATATCAAGTCACTTCTAATAAATAACCATTTTAAGTTACACGTCCGAATAATAAGAAAATTATGAAAATCGGTCTTTTTTAATGCAAACGAGGAGAGACAATATTCGTATCATCTTTATTAACTAAGGTAATAATGTCTACCGTATAAGCATACCAAAATTGTACAAAGAAAACAAAAAAATATTAAAATGAAATCCCGTCTGAGGACTAATGTTGTTTACTTGCACAGATATGACATTTGGAAATTATTCTCTCAGCCAATTTGTTTGAATAGAAAATAATCCTTGTATTTTTCAGACCGAAATTTTCTCAAAATCATATTAGCTTTTCGGATATGGGTACATAAACCTCCATTTTCAATACAAAAAGTCATCATAGTATTTACAAATTTATATTAAACGCATTTCTTAAAAGCATGTATTTGTGTTATTTAAGTCACCCAGATATTTATCGGCATTAGTGATTTGTTATTCAACTTTGTTGATTGTTTTATCATTTATGTACATTCTTTTAACCTAATATTTATTCCGAATAGCTCAAATTATACAATTGATAGTCAATAGAGTTATCATTGACATTAAAGAATTTCAAACTTATGTAGGTTTGGAATAAAAAATATACCATGACAATTCTTAAATAATACATATAATAATTAGTTAATTACCTGTTTCTCGGAACTTCCATCGTCTGAAGTTGATGTATATTCATTCGGTCCACTCATACAACGGACTAAATGGGCTAATATTGCCTTAACCCAATTAATTTTACCAGAATTAAGGAGTTCCATCAGTTGCTTTGGGTGGTATTGTGGAAGTACCGGGCATGCGATGCGTGAAGCTTGAAATAGTCCAAAGTCAGGCATATAATCATCATTTGTTGAATCACAACCTGCTGGAAAGCTTGCACTTGAATTTCCATATCGTTTACGTTTTTCATTGGAAAGTAACTGGAGGTTAGCAGTGCTCACTTTACTTATTAATGGCATAGATGACGCAGTTTTTAATCGCATTTGCGTAGATTCGTTAGCCAATGATCTCAAATCTTCATCACGTAGATTCCGTGAATCGAAAAGATCGTCTACGCTATGCTGTTCATTAAAACGAGGCTTCCATTGTGAGTAAACATGCATTTCAGAATCCATTGCTACTACCAATATTCCATCCCGAACCCATGAAATTTGCATAGGTAGTGGCGGTAAACCGTCTGCGGTATGTAAATCAATTTGACGAAGTTTCATCCAACGTATTTCGTCATTAAAATGTGGCTGAGCTAAGGAGCTAGCTTTCCGCAATATAGGTCGATTTGCTGACCTTGACACTTTCATAGCTTTAATATTAGCCTGAGCAATGTCAGATGAAACCGCAGTATACAAAAGTATTTTACTCCCTACAGCCACTGTTAATATATGGGAACCGTCTTCTTTTGACACCCAATCCAACTGAACGAGATGTTTTTGAGTTAATGGACAAGTGTTTCCATTTTCAGCGATACTTTTCCTTAGCGATTGTAAGGTACTAAAACTGGGTACCGCCAATAGACCAGATGTAGAAGATGTTTTTGTTGTAAGCTCAGGAGTTGTATCTCCACTTCTTGGAGATCTACCGTCTTCTTGTGTGAATGTTTGAAAAACTTGATTAAGACGTTGCTTTTTTTGCAATAATCGATTATCATGTAAATAACTAAGATCAATACCATGGTCAATATTCATCCGAGGCAAATGTACATTTTTTAAGTGTATCGTATCTTCTAACACCCATTCGCTTCCACCAGAACTTTCACATTCATAAATCGCTACACAAAGATTTATATACCTAGAGTCTGGATCACCTTTATTTGGTCTTGTAAAGCTTTTTCCATATTTATAAGCACAAGCCACCCTTCCCGAATAAGCAGCACTAATATTCAAAGGCTGACCAGGAATTTCTATAGCAGAATCTTGTATTCTACTGAACATTTTCCACTCCACCCATTTATATGTCTTTACGGATATATCATCGTCGGAACTTGTTTCACATTTCCAAAATCGAGAAATTGAATCTGAACATGCCGTGACTATTATATAGGGAGCATAACAAGCTGGATAAATGGATGACGAACTTAAATGGCCAGCAGCTGGTGAAGCATGAACGACATCTACACCTTCCGGCATCGGTAAATCCTGTGTGCAGACTTTTTCTGTTTTTATAGTCATATGTGATGTATCATTACCTGTGTCATCACAATTATTTAGTAATATATTAGCAACTGACATCCTTCGTGCTGCCAAATCTGAGTCGTCGATATCTTGAACAATGTTGCTATCAGGAACATACATTGCTGTATCGGATAGAAAAGTTTTTTGCTCTTTTGATGAAATTATAATGCGCCACATATGAATTGTACTGCCTTTTACAGTTTTTTCAATTATAACAATATAAAATGGCTCCTTGAATTCATAATTTTGTTGTAAATCAACAATTGCATCTAAATCAGGTTCCATTCGGTGTCCCCCATCAATTAACTGAGCTTGAAATACATGTAAGAATTGCGTATTCTGCCAGTCGTGTTTAGCTTCAGATATTGGGTCAAGTTGAATTATACATCCAGGGCGTGCGGTGGACTGCTGTGATACTACTTTTAATTTTTCATGAAAATTTGTTTTTCGTGTTTTAAATGTTGACGAAGCATTTGAATATATTGATGTCATTGAATTGGATTTATAAAGGTTATTGACATTTTCTGATGAAGATATTTCTGCAAGTAATGTGCGAGCATCAATTACTGCTTGATAAACTCGTAGATTCTCTCCATCACTGGCAACAAAACAAGCTGATGGTGAATTACTACTGCTTCCCAAAGTAGTACTTGGTAGTAAAGTAGGAATCCATGCTACATTGCTAAATGCTGAAATTTCAGGTGAGTTAATACGTGCTAATTCACTTACTCCCCCTGTATAACAAAGAGGACCCACAGAATCAACTCTCCATAAAATTAGTTCAGAACAGAATCCTGAAGGTGTAAAAACGTCTTTATTGTAAGGAAGATTTTCTGCATTGTTAGGTGATTTCTTCTCTGATTCAGGTAAGTTGTGATGGGACGTTGATACAAGAAGTGGCAAAACTGGATGACATGTTATGTCATTGACTCTAAAACGATGACCAGAAGCTCTGCAAACATGCCCTATGCTTAGGACTTGCGTGAACTTAGTTTTAAGTGCAAAAGTTAATTGCCACAGATTTAATGTTCCATTGGAATGTTTTGTCACCATTGAAACAGAAGGTGAAATACTACTTGTTAAAGTATTAAAAGCTTGCTCGCTTATGTCGGGGTTGCTCACCTTATTTAAAGGCGAAGAGCTTGGTGACTCTTTAAGTGATGTTATTTCCTCACTTCTACTTTTCACGCTATTTGCGATTTCTCTAAAAATAAGTGGTGGAGATCCCGTATTATATAAACTAACTGTTGTTGACATCGACATTGCATCTCCGAGAGGAAATGCAAAAGGTATTCTTGTGGAAAACGAAATTTGTGCTTGGCGAAAAGATCCGGGATAATAATCGTCCAACCAATCAACTACCCATATAAGATAACTTCCATCAATAGGATGAATTGCAAATACAAGATCGGGACTTTGATGCCAATCTCTCAATAAACATTCAATTTTCAAATCCAAAGAGTCAGTAAACTGATTAATTACGTGGTTATTTTCGTTATTTAACGAATTTAGGGATGCTGTATTTGACATTGAATTTGCATTTTGTAAAATTCCGATTTTATTATGGTGCGGCGAATTCTTGCAATCCTCTGAATTGCTGTCCTCTGCAGACAATGATTTCGACAAAGCTCGGAAAATTTTCTTTTTAGATTCGTCAGCAACATCTGCTTCATTGTGTTCTGAAACATTATTAGTGGACACATTTGTACTCTCTTCGTCAATTATTTTTTTCGTTAACTCTTGCAATATGACCTCAGCTTGTAAAGAAAAATTAATTTCCTTGTTATTAAGCCAGTGTAAAATAAAGTTGTTTTGATTAGAACTATCCGTAGAATGCATTGAAGGAACCAGTGGAATATCCGTCTCTGCGTTGATTGAAGCGGCCAAATGAAAATGCATACCGGGAGCCATTCCTGTTCCATGAAATCCATATGAATGAAAGTCGTGAACACTACAAGAAGACGGCAAGGATGGTATAGGCCCATGAAAAGTATCAATATTTGGTTGATAATTAACCATTCCAGTCTCGGTCTTAACATGCCTTCTTATATGAAAACAAGTTTTCATATGTTTTAATCTTTGCATAAAACGGTGCTTATGACGTTGTGTCCTGAATTTTGGATTTTGGGAAGCCAATGGATCAAACTGTGTCATATTAATTAAACCATCATCTGGCAACACAGTTTCTATCCAAATACGACATATGTTATCAAGACAAGATGTTACAATCATGTTGGATACCGATCCCTTCGGCATGTACTTGCTTGTTTTTCGCCATGCAATGTTTGTTACTGCACGAGGATGCGCAATATAAACGTACGTAAAGTTTAGTTCGGCATCATTTCCGAAAACTGTTTTGCTGCCATTTTTTGAGGGAAAGAGAACTGCAAAAATGTGTTAGCATTAAGTGCGTGGTGTTAGATATGAAAAAGTATATTTAGTATTTGTACTTACCTTGCTTATTTTCATACCAAATTTTTACAAGTCTGTCATTTCGACCACATGTAGCGAATAAAGTGCCATCAGGACTAAATGCCATATGATAAATTGGAATAGCAGTTTGACATGACCATATAGTGTCCCAAGTTACAACATCGTCTGTGCTCTCATTGGTAGGAGTTTTATTTCCGCGGTCACCACCACCTATTTCGAACTTTACACCTGACAAACAAAACGATAGTAAAATTAAAATGTACTTGACTTTTGAACTTTTATTTACCAGTAGAGCTTTCCTCGGCTTTTTCAGAAGTTCTTTCCTTCCACATTTCTATAATAGAACCGCCGGTTAAAAGACGAGTCCCTTCCAAGTTCCACGAGAGAGTGTAAACATGATAATTGCACAAAAACGAACCTGTTTGCACCCATCTTAAAAAATATATACATATTACTCATCATAATTCTGTTTGTAATTAATATTTCTACTAATTAAAAAAAAAATTGTAATAAAAACAACTCGATTTTAAACATGAATATATTGTGTGCCTTTGGAAAAGCGCAAAAATGGAAGAATGAGACCGCAGAAGTGTGCTGCAACAATGGCGGTGTTCAGCTAAGTTATGTTCGTGAACCCCCAAAAATGATTAAATCAGTGTTATCAGAAGTGGATAATCGTTATAACAACCCTTGTGTCGGGGCCCTGCTGTGAGAGGACCATCCTTATTAACATATTACTTCGGATTCTGCCGCTAAAACATTCAAACCACAACAGGTTACATCGCAAAAATGGCAGCCCTTGTCCGGATTAAATCCGGGTCAATACCGGTAATGTATAACCAGCTGTCTTTGTATGCCCTACAAACCCAACTCAATTAACCCCTTTCTCCTTTCGGTCCCAGCCCGATGAAACTGCTCGTATCATGGCTCTCCCGTTAAGTGACCCTCAAACGAGGCCTAGGTAATCGCTACAACAACAACAACAGGGCGATCCTAAAAGATTTTGATAACACAAATTTTATATCAAGACTTTAACTTTTTATGAACATTCGTATTTTTTTACAAAGAATTTCACTAACTGAGCCTCAAATAATAGTCTTCCACTTTTAAAAAAAAGTTTGAAATACGAATAAAATATTGCATGCGAATGGAACAAAAACAATCTGATCATACTAGATTTAAGGTTTAATTCTATTTCCAATTTCTTCCTTTGATTTTATTCGAAAGCATTTTTTGTGATTAGTACCACGGAGATTTAAATGTATGTATGTAGAAGTATTTTTTTTTTTAATTATACAAAAATTTCTGAAAGTTTTGTTCAATATTCCTCTTTTTGCTATTTTTCTTTGAATAGTCCTATATTTATATCCGGCCTGAGACTGAAACTATTAACTAGATTTAATGCCACCATATTTGAATTCCTCACTATATTATTTTTAACGAGAATTCATATTATTATAAAATATAAATACCTGTAATCCAAGTAATGTTTAACATTTTTGTTGCTCAGAAGCATAGGTGTGGGTTCGAATATACATATTTTATTTTCATAAGATGCAGCAATCTTTCCGGTGTCGGTACTGCAGTCAAGAGCAGATATCTTAACATAGCCATGTGTAGCTCCTGGAATTATTTGTACTCTCTCGAAGGTACTAGCCAATATTACAATATTGCATCCCGCAGCATACGCCTGTTGTTTTAAAAGTTATTAGAAAATAAATATAGTACATACATTAAAATCTTATCTTCTATTCAATATTTATATTTATTAATATGAAATAAAAAGTACATTTTGCTTTAACAGTATACTTTAAATAAATGTGGCTAACGGCGAATTAAACCCGATGAGAATACACATTGCAACAATTTATCCAATAGCCTCATTAAGATATACATATATATATCTGAATAATCACAGTGACAATATGTGTCGGTTTAGCAATCTCTATCTGTCGGTATATAAGCGAAATAGTCCTTCTGTTTTTCAGACGTCGACCAGAAAATATTCACACGTTCTTCCCATAAGCTTGTATGGAAATATTTCTCATTTGACGATATATTCACGAAATTAGCATGCGTTATAATCTAGGTCAATAATGCAAGGTCCGCGAAGAAATTGTTTGCGTAGAATCACCGAAGCATATATCGCACTACTATAGCATAGGAGCTTTGGTGATGCGAAAATTCAAACTTTTTATTGTTAAAGTTTTATGTAACTATATGGCTGACATTTCAAGGCTATTCAAAACTATTATTTGGATGAACTTGAGTAATTACAACAAAATTCGACACAAGTAAATCTTATAAACAATTTTTTTTGCATTTTCTGATTCCTTATACCCTTAGAATTAATGTAGAAACCCACTTTACAATTGGAAGGTTTCGAAAAAGGCCCAAAAATAATAATACCGCTCGACGTTCGGAGCGCTGGGAGTGCACACCCCAAACTTTAAATGCGTTTTTCTCAAAACACACTTTTTTAAACTGGCGGACATGATTCCAGTCGAACTACTCAACTGATTTGCCTAATTTTTTTTTAATGTTCACAAAACGCCTGTCTATCGTCTCCACTAGATTCATATTTTTTTTAATTTATTGACAATGTTATGACGACATTTATGTAAAAAAAAAAAAAACATGGGGAAAAATTTAAAAAAAAGCTAATTACTCTTTTATTTATCAACATTTTTTCATGATTCTACTAGGAGGAAATGGGAGTGGGCATAATATATCACTCTTCGCAGGGCTTTCCTCAAATTTCAATCAATCTATCTAAAGTTAAATGTTAAAATTATTATATGACAATCACTGTAACTTCTTTTTTTTCACACTTAAGTGTCATTTAAATTATATAGACATAATTGTTATGTATAATATAAAAATAACGAGTTTTAATAATTATTATATTCAGGCATGTGCTACATTTTGGTTTCGCATGAAAATGTTATAGAAACGTGACACCCTATGTTGAATTTCACTGTTTTCGTTTTCGAACATTAATCGTGTACCAGAAATCGAAATCGCCATACTTTTTCTGTTTTAAAATCGGTAAGTAGGAAAAATGTAGTATGTATACCGATTATATTTTTTTGAAAACAAATCGCTTAATTTTAGGGGCAAGCACAAGATGAAATATTTATAAATTTCATGGAACAGCACCCTGATACGGCGAAAAATTTTATTATATATACATCGCGCGATTTCCAGCACATGCCTGATTATAATTATATTAAAACACTAGGTCTAAACCTTGAATTTGGAACTGAATACTATCTGTATTGCGCTGTTGTTGAAGATATCGTGCACTCATCAAAAATTCTAAATGAACTTTTTCTCAACACTGTATACCACTATTTTTGTTGTTACAAGTTTTGTTTGGTTTGTTATGAATGAATGTTCGTAAATTTTTTCAAATCAATTATCTTTTATGCATGATTAAATATTGTTCTTACACAGAAAAAAATAAAAACAATTCTAAAGTTAAATATTCAATAAAAGTTATTTTTGATCTATTTAATATAAAATAAATGATTAGAAACGATTTAGTGAAGTGTTAGTGGATATAAAAATTAAAAATACGAGTGTAAAATTCAAATATCTCATAAACCATAAGTCAGCGCCGACTATATATATGTGACCTGGTCTACGAAAAGGGAGCTAACGTGCGCAAAAAAGGTTTCCGGGAAACAGCTGTTAAAAATCTCATCTTCCATCCGAATCAACTAAAAAGTGAAAATTGATTTTTTGGATTTTTTGACACCTAAGCACCCTTTCCG